CCCACCCCAAATACCAAACCCCGCCCACCCCAAATACCAAACCCCGCCCACCCCAAATACCAAACCCCGCCCATCCCAAATTCCAAATCCCGCCCCCAAATTCCAAATCCCGCCCCCAAATTCCAAACTCTGCCCCCAAATACCAAACCCTGCCCATCCCAATTACTAAACCCGCTTTGAATACTGGACTCAATCTGCAAAATATCGGCCCCACCTTAAATATTCAGGCCACTCCACCAAATACTGGCTCCTGCCCCAAATACCAAACCCCTCCAAAAAATACTAAAACCCATCTCCAAATACCAAACCCCACATACAAATACTAATCCCTCTGCCCAAATACTGACTCCCATCCTCAAATGCCGACCCCATCCACACCCAATCCACAAATGCCTACTCCATCCACACCCAATCCACAAATGCCTACTCCTTCTCCAATTGCCGACTTTTCTTCAAATGCAGACTTTTTTATGCGGACTCCTCTTCCGAATGTCACCCTCATCTCCAAATGCTGCCCCTGCCCCCAGAATGCTAACAACACCCACCCACAAATGCTGTGATCCTGTCTTCCCTCAACCTATTGTGTGGACTGCCTTGTCATATCAAAGAAAGACTGTCATTTGCATACTGAATGTCTCTTAACTAATTCCCACCAATCAATACCGCTATCCTATCTCCCATTATATGGACTGCCTAATTGTTTTTTCAGCAGCTACAATGCCCAGTGAACTTAAGCAGCAAACTGAAATGCCAATCAAAATGCTCACAGAGATGCCAAGTAATATTCTCACAGAAGAGCCAGGAATGTGCTCATCACCAGTAGATCTGGAATTGGTACCTGGTACTGTTCAGTTTGGGAAGACTGCCAACAGTCATATGTCTTATGATATTGAAAAGAAAAGTGTCAAGAATAAGTGAGTACTCTCTTGTTTGATGATGTTAAATGGTTAAATGGATGATGTCATCATGTTATTATGTAGCAATGTTAATGCCATGTAATAGTGCTGAAGTGTAATAATTTCATGTGATTGAGAAAAGTATGGATGTCACAAACGACGATGTATATAACGACACCAAATAATGCTGCAATATAGAAATATCAGTGTAGGTTTAGTCAATGATATCAAAATACAACTTGGAATGTATATTGTTCCTGGTATCTTTAATTCTCAACAAGGTAAGTTGCACATGTAGAGTCAATAATTAGTTTATCTGAATCTGTGATTCCATTATAAGCTGTCTTAGTGGTTTTCCTGCAGATCGCTTAACATACTGTGGATCTCAAATGAGATGTTTGTATTGTCTATGTTTTCCGTAGCATGATCTCTTAGGATCTTGACTGTTTACTGATTGTTACACCTGTAAATATTTTCAACTCTCTATTGAACAATGGCGCCCTCTAGTGGTATTTTGTGCTGTAATTTGTGCCTGGGAGTTATACTGCCCTCACATGGCAGAACTCAAAGTGATATGCACAACACATTAAGGTGAACAATTCTTGCTTTCAGTAAAACCAGGTTTCTCCATCCAGCGTTTAAACAGTATCCTGTTTTCATTGTCATACCACCATGATTTAATCATTTGGAGACCACACAAATGTTACCCTATGTATAACGGTCACCATACGGAACTGTGCCTGTAAACATGATAATTAATATACACCATGTTCTCTTTTATTGTGCATTGGTAAAATGATTGATTTGAGTGTCAAAATATTAGACATTTGTCCCCAGCATACATCACTGGATACATCACAGAGATGCTGACATTATATATAGGGGTTTATCTTGACTGGATTGCTTCGAGGGCTCTCTACATACCCAGGCTTCCACTAACGTCTTCTAGTTTCACACATTGCTAGCTTCATAATAATTACATCAGCTTCAGGGGAATACGCTGATGACTACAGTACACATGCTTTACTTTTTTTTCTGTGCTATGTTGAATGTATAGTTCACCAAAGACCATTGAAAGGCCTTTCATATTTATTTAACTAGAGGCTATTGTGACTGTTGCCTGTGGTTTGACTTCAAAGAACTGTCTAGACAGGAATGATGTTGTGATCAGTGCAGATTGTTTTATTTTCTTGGCAAGGAGGAATCCGCAGTAAATAAATGATTTGAAAAGAAAATACATTTTGATTTCCATCAGACTGTGATAAATCTGTGTTCAATCAAAACTCTTCTGTGCTGGGCTATTATTAGTTTTTTTTAAGATACAGAAATATAACTAATTTTCAATGAAATTATCCTGCAAATTAGAATGAAAATACTTAACATTTGACATGTTAATGCTGTAAACAAAAATGATGTCCCCTGAAGCAATCCTTGTTGTTGACTGTCAGTTTTCATGTTAGAATCTTGCTTTTGTCTGATTCATGTTGGCATTAACTAGTTGATAGTAACATTAATCTTTCACCACAGTCCCTCTGTAGACCAATCTGGAAATTGCAATTGTTTGAGGTGTGAATTGCTTTGCTCTCTTTTACAATGCTCAGTACAGATATCTCGCAGTGCATGATGGTTGCTTTATAGTCTTGCATGGCAAACAACATTTTTCATTTTTAGCTCCGCTGTCGACTTTGTCGAGCGGAGCTTATCATATGAGTGATTGTCC